CCCACAAAATCACCTCTGCAATCTTGTCGCCTGAACCCTGAATCCACAAATCTTGAACCAGCAACACATAGCGTGGACTCACCAGAATCCATAACACCATAATCAGTCTTTCCAAAAAACCTATTGTTCATAGAAAGAGGCGATCCCCTCTCTTTCATCTTCTCTTCCCAATCATATTGATTTGTTGACGATAAACAAGAAACTGGGTCAAGGTTATCATGGAAATCTGAGGGATAATCAGCCTCTACATTGCCTGAAAATGATCGGCAATGATCCCCTTCCATATCCGGAAAACTTTCAATATTGCCGGAAAATGACTTTCGCTTTTAGAGAGAGGGAGAGAGAGCAGAAATGGTGGATGAATTCTTAGTGGCCGAGGGAAAGAGAGTATCAGAGGTGGAGTTTCTACTTTCTGCCATGTTTCCTTCGATTTCAATTTTGTGGCCGTTGGATAATATGACCGTTGGACAGTGTTTATATGACTTTCAAATTGGATTGCTCGATTATTTTAGGACGGATATACCCTTCATTTCCATATTGCTCTATATCTAAGAGCGTGGTCTCTACAAGGCTAAGGCCTAACCAATCAAAATAAGGGGTGCCTTATACTACTCAAACATGTTATCTCACTAGGCGGAAAATTTATTTTCTAATTATAAAATTTAAAATTTAAAATAGTATATGATTAAGCAAATCTATAAACATTTAATTGACAGTTTAGATAATATGCTCCAATATGCACTATTTTCAATATTTGAAATCTATTTTTTTTCATATACATACATCTTGAGTTCGAAATAATCGAATTGAAGATTTGTCCACATCGAAACAACCATTCTAGTGACTTTTTAGACATCTTAATTTGATTGTTTAGACCTTATGTAAACTTTTTCCATATATGTACCTCAAATATGAGAGAAACACTGAAATTACCTTGGGGTCTAACTTTACTTCTACTCTAAATCAAATAATGTTAATAGAAATTTACGCGCATAGCGCAGAATTGCTTTATTTAGAATTTAAAAAATTTTACGCGTATATCTCCCTCAATTATTGTTATTCATTTTTTAAAAAAAATTTCCCCTACTTCGACCCTTAAATGGTCGAAACTACTTAAAGGGCTGAACTTGCTTCTAGAAAGCCCAAAAGCATTGAATTCAGCCTTTTAGAGAGCCTAAGTTCTACCAAGGGTTGAACCTGCTGCTAGAAAGTCCAAAAGGCAGTTCGACCCTAGCTTAAGTTTGACTATGGTTCAATCATGAATAAGTTCTACTCTTCAAGGGTGAAGGCAATTGAATCCTTGAATTATTTATTGCTAGCTTAAGTTCAACTAAGGATTGATCTTGCTTAAACTTGACCCTTCAATGGTTGAATTTGCTTCTGGAAAGCCAATACGGGTCGAACCGGTCCTTAACGGAACCCCAATACTTCCAGCTAGTACTATAAAATAAGACTAAAATGCAAACCCCATAAAAACTTCCTTGAACTGGTTTCCCCTATTGAATCGTATTACTGAAGTCTTACTAGCCTTTCTAGTGCTCCTACAGATTTGTTATACTTACTGATCTTCACACTAAAAGTCACATGTTGTACTTAGAGAAAAGCCGAACCTCATCCATGGTAATTTCCAAATAGTTAAGATTCAAGATGCATAAGGTAGAGGCGGCAATGGGCCAGGTGGACTGGTTAGCTCGACCCTATAAAAATTAGGACTTTTATAGCTCGAGGGTCGGCCAGTGCCGAGCAACTACGATTCAAGGGTAGGGCCTGGCCTAGGTCAAGGTTGGCTCAACTAGGCCGTCTGTTTCTTATTATTTCGATTTTATTTGGCCCAGCCCTGAGGGCTAGGGTTGGGCTTGGGCTAGGGCTTTTTTGGATCGGTCTAGGCTGGGCCAAGCCTAGGTTGGCCCTATAAGGAGTAGGATCAGGCTAGGCCCAACACATTGCCAGCCCTAAGATAGAATTGTACTAGACAAATGTCACGGCCCAACCCGTGATCCCTTTTTCCGCACGCGACAGAGGGTAACCGAGTGCGGAAAAAGGGATCGGGGGAAGGGTCGTGACAATTATGATATCAGAGTAGTCAAAGTAGGATTCTTGGCCGAGAGAATTTTAGAAGAGTCTTTAGAATAGTTTTAGGATAGATTAGTGACTGGGTTCTCCTGTGCTAGGTTGAAGATGCCAAAGACTCGTACCAACAATGTGAGTTCCAGCAACGAGAACACCGAGATGCTCAGTGAGTTTATAGGACCCTGAGGGCGATGACCCAAATGATGAAGGAGTCGATGCCAGTCCAGTCTACACCTACCCCAGAGCAAAATGACAGTAGCTTGATAAAAAGATTCAGAAGACTGACACCCCCAACCTTTGTAGGGTAAGGTGGGGTAGAGAAAGCCAAGCGATGGAAGAGACAAATAGAGCAGATTCTAGAAGTGTTACATTGCTCGAATGAGCAGAAAGTCAGGTTGGGAGCCTTCATGCTGAAGGGAGAGGCTGGATATTGGTGAAACTCGGTCAAGCAATCTTAGAAAGAGTCGGGAACCGAGCCACTTGGGATAACTTCATGAAGTACTTCCCAGAATCCATCAAGGAGAGGAAGGAAGTAGAGTTCATTGAACTTCAGCAAGGGTATGACAGTGGAGCAATAGGCCACTAAATTTACGGAGCTTTCTAGATACTCTCCTCACATCATTAGCACAAAGGCACGAAAGGTGGCTAAATTTGAGAGGGGCCTTCTGCCAGACATCAGAGGAAGAGTATTTTTGGCCAACCTGAATTTGTACGCCCCATTAGTAGGCATCGGCCTTAAAGATTGAGACGGACTACGAGGATCATAGGTCAATCAAGGAAGGAAAGATGAAGCCCGTGCCATCGAGAAACTTTGGGAAGAAGCCTCGACAATTTCCAAAGAGGGATGTTAGAGGAGGGCCTTACCAGCATAACCAGAAGGCCCAGAGAAATTTCCTGAGCAACACGGAGAATGATTGATGCCCGGTTTGCCCTCATTGCGGGAAGGACAACCACATTGCTGCTGAATGTTACAGGAAGCGGAACGTGTGCCTCAGGTGTGGCAAGCCCGGCCACTGGGCTAAGGAGCCCTATGACGAAGACAAAGAACAGATCATAGACGCAAAGATGAGTATTTGCCCTCACCGAACAAGAAGCCAAGGCATCCACCTCAGTGATCAGACATACGCTCTCCATTTGTGGTGTTAAAGCTAAAGCCTTAATTGACCTGGTTCCTCTCACTCTTTTATTGCACCCCATTTTGCTTGCTATCTAAATGTTGAGCCTGCATGTCTTGATTTTACTCTAGTAGTATGTACGCCTGTGGGGGATTCTATGGAAACCGATAGAATGTATAGACAGTGTGGAATTACAATTGATGGGTGTGATCTGCTTGTGGATTTGATTCTCTTAGAAATTTAGGATTTTGAAGTTATTCTAGGCATGGATTGGTTATACACACACCATGCCACCGTCAATTGCCATGAAAATACGGTGACCTTTAAATGCCCTGACCAAGCTGAGCTACACTTTGAGGGCACCAGGGATACTTCCCATCTACACTTTATTTCTGCTCTCCGGGCCGCTCGCCTCCTGACTAAGAGATGTGAAGGATATCTAGCCTATGCGGTTGAAAATCGGGGCATCCAGTCTCAACTAGAAGGGATACTAGTAATAAGAGAATACCCCGAGGTATGTCCAGAAGAATTAACGTCCCTACCCCCCAGTAAGGGAAATTGAATTTGAGATAGATGTAGTCCCTGGCACTGTTCTCATCTCCGAAGCCCTGTATAGAATGGCTCCAGCAAAATTGAAGGAGTTGAAAGAACAGTTGCAAGAGTTGTTGGATAAGGAATTCATCCAACCCAGCGTGTCACCCTGGGGTGCACCAGTTCTGTTTGTGAAAAAGAAGGATCGATCGATGAGACTGGTATTGACTATAAGCAGTTGAACTAAGTAATATTGAAGAATAAGTATCCCCTATCTAGGATTGACAACCTTTTTTACCAACGCCAAGGAGCCCAAATGTTTTCAAAGATCGACCTCCGATCAGGGTATCACCAACTAGGAGTCAAGGAGGGAGACATCCCGAAGACCGCTTTCAGAGCTCGATATGGTCACTATGAGTTCCTTGTAATGCCGTTTAGGTTAACCAATGCCCCTACTGTGCTCATGGATTTAATGAATAGAGTGTTATGAGCCTTCCTGGATGATTTCGTATTGGTCTTCATTGACGATATTTTGGTATATTCGAAAACCTGGAAACTACATAAGCAGCATCTGAGAATGATCGTGCAAACTTTGAAGTCAGAAAAACTGTATGTTAAATTAAGCAAGAGTGAATTTTGGCTCTCCAGCGTATCCTTCTTGAGTCACATCATTTCAAAAGATGGGATCACAATCGATCCCTCTAAGATTGAAACTGTACTTAAATGGGAAAGACCAACTAATGTGACCGAAGTTCGTAGTTTTCTGGGGTTAGCCGGATACTACAGGCGCTTCGTAGAAGGATTCCCAAAGATAGCGCTTCCCCTTACTCGGCTGACGCAAAAGAATGTAAGATTTATGTAGTCGGAAGACTGTGAGAGAAGCTTCAAGAACTTAAGAAGAGACTAACCACAACCCCGATACTGACCCTGCCTTAAGGAAATGAGGAATTTGTGGTTTATACGGATGCATCCCATAAAGGGCTCGGATGTGTACTCATGCAGAGAGGTAAGGTCATTGCTTATGCCTCCAGACAATTGAAGTCGTATTACCAAAACTATCCAACTCATGACCTGGAGCTTGTGGCCGTAGTGTTTGTGTTGAAGATCTGGAGACACTACCTCTATGGGGCCTAATTTAAGGTGTTAACGGACCACAAGAGCCTCAAGTATCTATTTTCTCATAAGGAGTTGAATATGAGGCAAAGAACATGGATGGACTTACTGAATGATTACTACTGTACAATTGATTACGATTCGAGCAAGACTAATGTGGTAGCAGACGCCCTAAGCTGGAAACCCTTGTCTCAGTGGCATACCTGATGGTTCGAGAGATGGGGTTGCTAGAGGATGTGGTGGAATGGCACCCAACTCTACCCCTCAATGATAGGGTCGAAATGCTTCCATGTGTGAGAGTAGAGCCCCAACTCTTCCAACAATTCCAAATAGCACAAAAAGAATATCATCAACTTATGAAAATCCTTGAAGAAATAAAAGTGGAAGAAAAATGGGAATTCATTATGAGCGATGATGAATTGTTAAGGTTTAAAGGCCAAGTATGTGTTCCTAATGACGAAAATGTAAAAAGGACTGTTCTAAAAGAAGTACACCACTCTCGCTATACGGTGTACCCAGGGAGTACAAAGGTATATCAAGATCTAAAAAAGACCTTCTGGTGGAACAACATGAAGAGGGAGGTTGCACAATTTGTCGCTAAGTGGTTGACATGTCCACAAGTGAAGGCGGA